ATCTTCTTTTGCCTCTCCATTTCATTTAGCCTAGGCCAACAGTAACTCCGGACTTCAGTCAACAGTCTAGCAAACTACTACTTGAGAAGCTCTGGTAGGATTCCCATATTGGTTAGTTGACCAACTAAATTTATATTCCTTCCTCTTAGAATCCAATCCCACACAACTTCCTTGGGTTTCTGCTTATATAAAATGGCAAAATCTTTTGGTATGTCAACCTTCTCTTCCTAGGTTCAACTTGTACTTGTCTCTTGGTACCTGCTGGGATCTGACTCTGGTTATAATAGGATGGGAGACAAAGAAGCCTAGTAGTGAAAGGGTCTGAGGAGAATTGGCAACTTACATGAAGTAACCAGCATGTCTCCAAGCAAGCTAGAGCTAATCCCATCAGACAGGGGACCGGTAGCTGCTTCTGCTGGCAAGAGAGGCTCAATGAGAAGGGGATTTGGGGTACTCAGATTCAACTGAACACACTCGAATGTCCAACTACAACTTTCAGGGTTCCTCTTTCCAAATTGGTGTCTAATGTTCACTTTAAAAATATGGTAAAATGTGAATTCAACTTATATTGTTATTTAATAGCCTGCTGGATCAGATTCTGATTTTTGGCTTCATCAGCTCTGAGGCCACAAGAGACAGAAGATTATCTTAGGGTAGTCGTGAAAGCTCCTTGGTTCTCTAGTTTTGAGCTGATGGTGTAAACCCCTAAGCTGGTCCTTTTCTTCATTTATTCTATCCAGGGCAGTCATAAATAGTCATTCCATCCCATAACCCTTGAAATTTCTTCTTTTCATTCTAACTATTTAATACTATACTGGGGTCTAGCCTTCTACTAGGAACTTAACTCAGAAAACCTTATGTGATCATTTAAGTAAATTTTTTGTCACTATGTGCCATAAACTGTGGGAGTTCTATTTTCTAATGATAACAGCATTGCCATTATCTTCAAAGTCATACAGGTCACATAACGAAGCCAATCTTTCTGTCCTTGAGAGTCTGTTATCTGCAAACTCTTCTAGAAGGAGGTAATATAAATCACCCTAGATTTCTTTTTTTCTTAAGAAAAAAGAGATTTCACACAGAGCATACTGTGGTATAAAATCATTGTATATAGAAGCAGGATTCAGAGGAGGGGACGTACTACCACAGTTGTAAGCCCAAGATCAAGAAGCATCTGCCTCTGCTGCTGCTGCTGCCACTACTGCATTTCTTTACACCTGTGAAGCAGAACCCTGAGACTGCCCGCTATTACTGCCCCAACTCCCACCAGATATCCATGGGTTGGTATCTAGAAACTTCTAGTCTCATATTTGGGTATCCAATTGGTAGAGGCTTACGTATAACAAGAGCCCTACTTGCTTCTGGTCTGGAAAACACAGATGTAAGCTACCCACTTCTAATGTGGAAAACAGCATTCTAAAATGAGGGTGGAACAGAAGAGGAGCAAGCATCCACAAACTCTACCACACTCCTGGTAAATGATAGTCTCTATCTGGCTGTACATGATTAGTCTTTCCAATTCCCTCTCCCTCCTTGTTTCTCTGCCAAAGATGTCACCCTCCTGATGTTGTGTAGGGGAGGGAGGGGCACCTTAAACTGACTCCTAGGGGTTCAGTGGCTGGTATTGGCTATCTCTGGTGTGATGTCTCTTGTCCATGCAATTATTAAATACCCTGCTGGTGTCTCCTACTAAAGTCTGTCCTTGGTAAAATTCAGCTGTCTCCTTCTGAACTGGTATATTGTTATACTACTTTGCTACTTTTGTTTATTTTGCAATCCTCTTTAATTAAAAACAAATAGCTTTAAAACAGATGAGAAATGCTAAAGAAAGAAGAATGTTATAAACATAATGTTTAAATAATCTGTCTTCTCTCCAATTTTTCATTTTTAGTGGGATGTCGAAAAGGAAGTCAATTTTACAAGTATATATACATTGAGGTTAAACTACCTTTGCTTTCCCAAACATGGAGGAGTTAATCAGCAGAGAAAAAATAAGCAAATAACCTGAAGAAAGGGTGGAGGGGGTGGGAATTGCACAAATTATGCTAAATCAGATATTAACAATACTCCAATAAACTTAACCTTCTGTTCTGGCCAACTTGACAGGTCATGGGGACCATTCCACAATCCAGAGAATACAGCAGTAGTAGCAAGTTGATACAGGAAAAGATAATGAGTTCCATTTTGGAAATGTTGGATTCGTAGTGCCTATGAGAAACTGCATGCATGTTAAATAGTAGAAAAATTGTGGGTTGGAGTGATAGTTTGAAAGTTCTCAGTTAAAGAGTTGAAACCATGGGTATGGTTAAAGTCAGTTTCACCAAAATCATGCATCTGAACTCAAGTCTCAGATATGGATTACATGACAGAAATAATATAAAATCAATGCTAGATTTGAGTTAATACTAACTTACAGAAATAGGATGGACGTTTAAATTTTTTACCATCTCTTTATATAGTTGTTCATCCTTAAATAGTCCTGGCAGCATTCTGAAAAATTTTAGATGTCTGGGGAGAATCACTTTTAAACTCTCCCAGTAGGATGAAGGCTTGTACCTTTTGCAAATACCTCCAAAGAAGCTGATCCTACATCCGCATTCACTAGTCCATTCTATCACATGATTGAATTCATTGTCTCTTTCTCTCTCTCTCTCTTTTTTTATAATAATAATTTATTGTGTTTTTGGTGAAAGTTTACACAGCAAATTTGGTTCCCATTTAACAGTTTCTATACAAATTACTCAGTGACATTGGTTACATTTTTCACAGTGTGTCAACATTCTCATCATTTCTGTTCCAGTTGTTCCCTTTCCAGTAATCTAGTTTCCCTGCCCCTCTTACCTTCTCATCTTTGCTTTAGAGAAAATGTTGAGTGTTTGGTAAATGATGATTTTTTTTTTTTAAAGAAGCACAGTACACATGGGTGATACTCTTTATTTTATGAGTCAATCTGTTATTTAGCTGAAAGGTGACCTCCAGGAGCAGTTTTGGTTCAAAGTTTAAAGGGTGTCTCAGGGGATCGTCTAGTCTCAATTGGTCCAGTAAGGCTGGACTTTTTAAGGCTTTGAATTCTGTTCTACATTTTCTCCCATTCTATCAGGGTCCATCTATTGTGGCCCTGATCAGCATATTCAGTAGTGGTAGCCAGGCACCATGCAGTTCTGCTAGTCTCAGGGTAGATGAGGCTGTGGTTCACGTAGGCTATTAGTCCTGTAGACTACTTTCTTCTCTGAGTCTTTGATTTCCTTCTATCTCTTTTATCCCAGATTAGTATACACAGATAGTTGTATCTTAGATGACTGCTCCAAACTTTTAAGACCCCAGACACTACTCACCAAATTAGGATATAGAACATAAACTTTATGAACTATATTATGACAATTGACTGGGTTGTCCCATGAGACTATGGTCCTAAGCCTTCAAACCCAGTAAACCACTCCCATGAGGTGTGTGATTATGTCTAAGTGGTATCCATAAGTTTGCTGTTTTTGTGTGTTATTATATATATGACTATATATGCATATTCACACATACATGTATATACATATGCATATAGATACACCAATACAAGCACACATATATACACACATATACCTACCTATACACATACAGGCATACATACATACATATGTAACCTTACATATATATTTTGGTTGTTCAATTAAGGGTTCTGGAATTCCCATTCTTTGCAATGTTCCATAATTTGTTATGATCCACACAGTCAAATGCCTTTGCCTAATCGATAAAACACAGGTAAACATCTTTCTGGTATTCTCTGCTTTCAACCAGGATCCATTTGACATCAGCAATGATATCCCTCATTCCATGTCCTCTTCTGAATCCTGCTTGAATTTCTGGCAGTTTTCAGCTGATGTACTAGTGCAACCGTTTTTGAATTATCTTCAGCAAAATTTTACTTGCTTGTGCTATTAATGATATTGTTCGATAATTTCTGCATTCTGTTGGATGACCTTTCTTTGGAATGGGCAGAAATATGGACTTCCTCCAGTCAGTTGGCCAGGTAGCTGTCTTCCAAATTTCTTGGCATAGACAAGTGAGTGCTTCCAGCATTGCATCTGTTTGCTGAAACATCTCAGTTGATAGTCTGTTGATTGCTGGAGCCTTGTATTTTGTCAATGCCTTCAGTGCAGCTTGGACTTCTTCCTTCAGTACCATTGGTTTTTGATCATATGCTACCTCCTAAAATGGTTGACTGTCCACCAGTTCTTTTTGTACAGTGACTCTGTGTATTCTCTCCATCTTCTTTTGACACTTCCTGTATCATTCAATATTTTGCCCATAGAATCCTTCAACTCAAGGCTTGAATTTTTTCTTCAGTTCTTCCAGCTTGAGAAATGCCAAGTGTGTTCTTTCCTTTTGGTTTTCTAACTCCAGGTCTTTGCACATGTCATTATAATACTTTACTTTGTCTTCTCAAGCCACTGTTCGAAATCTTCTGTTCAGCTCTTTTACTTCATCATTTCTTCTGTTCACTTTAGCTGCTCTACATTCGAGAGCAAATTTCAGAGTCTCTTCTGACATCCATTTTGGTCTTTTCTTTCTTTACTGTCTTTTTAATGACCTTTTGCTTTCTTCACATATGATGTCCTTGATGTCATCCCACAACACATCTGGTCTTAGGTTATTAGTGTTCAATGTGTCAAATCTGTTCTTGAGATGGTCTCTAAATTCAGGTGGGGTATACTCAAGGTTGTACTTTGGCCCTTGTGGACTAGTTTTAATTTTCTTCAGCTTCACCTTGAACTTGCATATGACCAATTGATGATCTGTTCTACAGTCGGCCCCTGGCCTTGTTCTGAATGATGATATTGAGTTTCTCTAGCACCTCTTTTCACAGATGTAGCCAATTTGATTCCTGTGTATTCCATCCAGTGAGGTCTACATGTATAGATGCTGGTTATGTTGAAAAAGGCCCTATTTTCACCAACACATCAGAATATTTCTTTTTTTAAAAAAAATTCTGCTGATTTTTATTTTAGGAGACAACAATGGATGGCCTATACAACTTGACAAATATTTTGCAAATTACTTCAAAAGGACTTCCCTGAATCCCTTGGAGACAGAAACATCTGAATGCTGTAAGTAACCAGAGCAGTGAGTCTCCTTTTCTGTGAGTTCATAATGAGACATCATGTTTTGAACAGTTCGATTTCATCTTTTAAAGTTATTTATAGTTTTCTAGTTGCAAACTTCATTAAAAATGCAGTCTTAATATGGGAATTTCATTTTAAAATGACTTAGGGACTTGAAGTGTAAAAGTAAAAAATAATATCAAGTATTATTGTGAACAAAATTAATGTCAGTCAGTCAAGGTTACTATTTTTATATAAATCCCCTTTTCACAATCACTAACAATCTTATAAATGCTAATGTAAAGGAAACTGAGAAAATAGAAGCACGGAGAAGCTGTGTGGATTATAACATTTGCAAGTGAAAAACAGTCCAGGAACTAAGCTGTATTTTAGAGCTTAAAAAGTCCGATTAATTATAACCTGCTGTGTTTAGCCATATACCTAAAACTTACAAAAATATTGAAGGGCTTTGGGGTAGGGGGTGGGGGTGGTCATAATCTGTGTGTTAACTCTATAATATTTTATATCAGGAATACCTATGAGAAAGAACTCCTTTTAAACAAATTTTATCTGTTCTCATAAATTATTTAAACATTGATCCGTGCCTTGGTGTTATCATTTTGACCCTAGCTTTTCAAGACATGGCTGAAAAGCAAGGGAGTGAGGGGAGGAACCCTTACTACATATTTTCCTTTATGTTCTACTACAAAGTCCACCTTTTTTATGTTTTGGTATTTTCTATCTTCACTACACAAATGAGATTAATTAAAAAATAAAAAAATTAAAACTACTAACAACCCCCAATTTTAGGAGATCATACATATCTGTCCTGTGAGTCTCACAGATTACTCAGCAGCTATCTATCCTACCAGTCTCCAAGATCATGGAGATCAGGTTATTTGGTCATTAAAAAGTCAAAAGTTTTTGAGAAAAACAAAGGTAACAGATAGAATTTCACTGCTAATGTAGTATAAAACATTCCGTGGATTAGGCTGCAATATCTCAAAAAGTAGTTTTTATTTTCTTTTGGTTTTTATTATAGATCGTTTTCTGTTTATTTCTTAAATTTTAATTGAATTGCTTTATAACTCATCTTATTCCCAAAACGATTTTAGCTAGCTCACAATAAAAATATGACTGCTAACAGACTTAAACCATCAACATGATATAAAAGACAAAAGCCAAGGGGTGGAAAGGAAGAGAACTAGAGGGGGAAAAAAATACATACACATAAATACTTATGGAAATCCTCGCTGAGGAAACCTCAGCACCTGCGTCCAGAGCTTGGTTCTGAACGTTGTGGTCATTAGGTCAAAGAGGGAAGCACAATGGTTACATGACTTTCAGAGTCTGCTCTGTAAAGCAGAAACAAACAAATAGGGGGGAAAATAGATCAAGTCATCAAGAGAAATAAATTTTTGCCTCGTGCCATGAATGCTCTGGGAAGAATTTTTTACAAGTATATTTATCTAAGAGAAATAGAACTACACAATAAATAATATATCAAAATATACAGAGGTAATTTATGAGTACTTAGTAAAGAATAAATTATGTAATTCTCAATTACTTTTTTAAAGACAATTCTGAGGGAGCATAATCAATAATTTAATATCTTTTCAAACTTGGTGTCAGTGCAAAACTTGAATGGAAAGTGTAGTATAAAATTTGTGACTGAAACCTAAATTAAGGTTTCTACTGTGCCACTTGGAACCCTGGTGGCACAGGGGTAAAGACCTCGACTGCTAACCAAAAAGTCAGCAGTTCAAATCCACCATCCGCTCCTTGGAAACCCTATGGGACAGTTCTACTCTGTCTTATACAGTCTCTGAATCGACAGCAATGGGTATAATGGGTATGGTGCCACTTTATTTAAATCAGATTATCAAAGGGATTTATTGGAAATTAAACTAGTGGGAATGGCTTACAATCATTTTTGTCTAAGTGAGAGAATGTAAGGAATTTACATTTATAAAAGCATTTCTCAAGAGCAAGATCATGAAAAATATAATATCCAGTATTAATCAATATATTAATAAAGCTTAAATTTGGGGGATTTTGAAAGTACATAAATTTGGAAAGAATTATTAACTCAACTATAATTTCACCACCAGAGGCCACAGCATTAACTTGCTGGTAGATTACCATTGCCTCAATTATCAAGTGCTGCTATAATAGAAATACCACAAGAGGGTGGTTTTAACAAATAGAAATTTATTTTCTCACAGTTTGGAGGCCAGAAGTCTGAATTCAGGACACTGGCTCTAGGGGAACACTTTCTCTTTCTCTCTCTCTGCCAGCTCTGGGAGAAGGTTCTTGTCTCTCTTCAGCTTCTCTTCCTCGGTTCCTTGGGGATTTTCATATGCCATGGCATCTATCTTCCCCAACCCCCACCCCATTTGTGCTTGCTTCCCTGATTGCTTGCTTAACCTACTTTCACATCTCAGAGAGATTGGCTTAAGATACATCCTATACTAATACTGCCTCATTGACATAGCAAAGAAAACTCGTTCCCAAGTGAGATTATAATCACAGGTATAGGGATTAGGATTTACAACACATATTTTGGGAAGACACAATTCAATCCATAAGATTCCACCCTTTGGCTCCCAAATATTCATGTCCTTGCCACATGCAAAGCACATTCACCCTATCACATCATCCCAAAAGTCTTAAATCAACTCCAAGTCCAAAATCTCATCTTCTGAAGCATCTAAATCAAATATGGGTGAGACTTCAGGCAACCCCATCCTTGTGACCAACCTGAACGGCAGCCCCGCACTCTGGAACTGAGTTGGTAGAGATCTGATTCTTTGAAACCCAGGAGGCCATGACTCTACCTTTTGAAACCCAGGAGGTGATGGCTTCACCCTTTGAAACCCAGGAGACCATGGCTCCTCAGCAGCCCTGCTTCCCATGCTCCTTCCAACAGTTCTGCTGATCTCTAAACTGCTCCTGGGATGGTCCTTTTCTTTTCTTGGAGGACTACAGCTGTCGTTGCTTTGGCCTATTTCCTACCCGCAGAATTCCAAGAGGCAGACAGCTTTCCTTCCTTTCTTCCTGTCTCTGTTCCCTTCAGTGTAAACTGACGGGTTTTCTGCTGTGGTAGCTGGTTCGATCCATCAGTTACAGGCTTAATCTCTTTAACAGAAGAGTGTGTAGCCACATCCTTGGTGAAAGTTCTAGGACACATGTCCTTAGTTTGTACAACAGAATTTTCCAAATCTTTCAGTTCTGGTTTCAGTTGCATGGATCATTTTCAAGTCCATCTCTTTCCTCTGTCATTTTACTATAAATGGCAAGGAGAAACCATGTTGCCCCTTTAAGATCTTGTTTAGAAATCTCCTCAGCCATAAATCCAAGTTCATTGCTTACAAGTTCCACCTTCCACCAAACATTTGAATATAACTCAAGTTCATTTCCACTGCATAAAATGCATCACCATCACCCTTCCTCCACCATCCAATCACATGTTCATCATTTCCTTTTAAAGTCTCACCAGAAGCAAATTTAATGTCCACATTTCTAGCAACATTCTGTTGCTGGCACCATCTGTATTCTCTAAGATGATAGAGACTTTCCCTATAGCTCCCCTCGCTTCTTTCTGAGCCCTCATCAGAATTGCCTTAGATGTCCATAATTCTACCAGCGGTCTCTTCAACGCAATTTAGGCTCTTACAATTAGGCAACTTAAAACTCTTCCAGTCTCTACCCATTACCCAATTCCAAAACCACTTTCGCATTTTTGGTATCTGTTAGAGCAGCACCTCACCCCTGGTAGCAAATTCTGTCTTATTTATCTGGTGCCGCTGTACCAGAAATGCCACAGTGGATGGCTTTAAGACACAAAAGGTTATTTTCTCACAGTTTAGGAGGCTAGATGTCCGAGTTCGGGGCGCTGGCTGTAGAGGAAGGCTTCCTCCTTCTCTGCCGGCTTGGAGGGAAGGTTTTTGTCTCCAGTTTCTGCTTCTTTGCTCCTTGGGGATCTTCCCGTGGCATGGCATCTCCCTCCACCCGCATTGCGCTGGCTTGCTTGCTTGCTGAATCTGCTTTTCTATCTCAAAAAATATTAACTCAAGACACACCCTACACTAACATTGCCTCATGAACATAACAAAGAAAACTCATTCCCAAATGGGATTATAACCACCAGTATAGGGATTAAGATTTACAACACGTATTTTGGGAGGGCACAGTTCAATCCATAACACTCATTTTTTGTTTTTGAGGTTTTTTTTTTAACATAATTGAAATACCCTGTAAAAACCATTTTTATCATATTTCCAATTAGCATTTAGCATAATTACGTATTTGTGTTATTATAAGCTCTTTTAAAATATTCTATATAATATTACATATCCGATAAATGACAGAGTTTACTTCATTCTTCTTTTGTTGTTGAATATTTAGGTTTTTTTTTTTTTCATTTTTCCCTATGATAGACAACACACTAATCAACATACGTGAATTATTTTAATTCAGCCCATATACATGGAAAATGCACACTGGAATTAATGCTATTTTTACATTCACGTCTTTTCTGTTCTTCCTACTCTTGCCCTTGGTACCTTCATCTTCCTTCCCAACCCTCATCGTGCCGTGCTCGCAACATAAACACGCATTCACATATTAGACATAACTTTAACTTAAAGAGACAGAGTCAGTGTTCAGAATATATCACCAAAATGCTTAGAACTACAAAGCTGTTTAAAAGTTCTTGGCAGATACTCTGTTTACATAAAACATCAAACCTGATCTTGATCTTTTATAACCCTGTAAAAGAGTCTGTAGAATTCTGTGGGAGGAGAAAAGCACACCTGTCACCCCATGTCTGAACAAAGGGGCGCTTTATTAGCTCACAAGCTATAGCCAACTATGCTCATTCACAGTCAGGCCACCACTCTGTCATGAGGGTCTCTACTTCACCATGGAGACACTTGACTACTCTCCGGAGGTTTTACCCTAAAGGTCAAAAACTGGAAGCCTACAAGCAGAACGTTCTCATAGAAAGTTTTGTTTATTCTATGATGTTTTGAAGTACTTTACATTAGCTACCGTTATTTTTAAAATAGGTAATTACATTTTTTTTTTTTTTTTTATTTCTGGCTTTTAGAAAGTTGGTAGACTTGGCCACAAATGGCCCTCAATCTATATGCAACAGTTAGTAGGAGACAGATACTGGGACACTCTAAACTTGTTTTACTTCTCTTTTGTGCTATCTGCCTAACTCCTGTAGACATCTGAGTCTATCCAGTCTAGGCTCCAGAAGTAAATGTAGAGAAGAAGCATTCCACAGTGTTCTTATAGTCATCCATTCTTCATTAAGGCAAGAATCAGACTGTATTTATTATGCTGCTGTTAGGTGGCAGCCAGTCTATTTTCAACTCACAGTAACCCCATGTGGCAGAGTGGAACCGCTCCATAGGGTTTTCTAGGCTGTAATCTTTATCGGAGCAGATCGCCAGGCGGTCTCTCCCATGGAGCAGTTGGTGCATTCAAACCACCCGCCTTTCGATTAGCAACCAAGTGCTTAACTATTGCACCACCAGGGCTCCTTATAGTTATTATACTAGGTAATAATCCCTTGACACTGTTTAACTCTATGAACACCTCCCTGAGAGTCTGTAATATACCTTATAAATGTTGAATCACTTCCCTAAGACTATCATGACAGCCCCACAAGATAACCAAAGGGATACATTCCATTCTCCCTCTTTCCAGAACCCAGGAGTGTGCAGAAGAAATGCTCGCTCACATAAATCAAGTTTTACATATCCTTACACCCCTGCATAAGCCAAAAATCAAGTTTTACATATCCTTACACCCCTGCATAAGCCAAAGAAGAATCAGAAAATTGCAAGCCCATCAAAGTCCTTTGAAGAACTCTTGAATATTCAGAAACAAGGGGAAAAAAATTCCACCAACACTTTGGTGAGAGTACGTCTCACATACTTCGGACATGTTGTCAGGAGGGACCTGTCCCTGGAGAAGGACATCATGCTTGGTAAAGTAGAGGGTCAGTGAAAAAGAGCAAGACCCTCAATGAGATGAATTGTCACACTAGCTGCAACAATGGGCTCAAGTATAACAACAGTTGTGAGGCTGGCGCAGGCCCCAGCAGCGTTTCGTTCTGCTGTTCACAGGGTTGCCATGAGTCGGAACTGACTCGACAGCACTGAACAACACCACCAACATTACAGTTTAGAGTTTGGTTCTTCTCTGTCTTTCTTACTAGTCAGAAATGATTAGCCATTACAGCTTTTGGTTATGCTATTAAGAAAACTCTCCTCCTAAATAATAGCTTTAATGTGAACATAAAACCTCACCACACACTATCAGGTCAGCCTTGGATTTAACCACTCCCGTAGGATGAGTAAGAACAGATCATTCATTTTGCAACGTATGGAGAAGAGCAGCCTGCTATTTAAAAAATAAAATACATGCCCTGGTAAATGTGTATGTTTCCAATGTTGATGCTCTTGCATCGTGTTAAGGTTAAACGCAAAGTAAATTTAGAGCCTTTATTGAAAGCATTGCCTAAATTTCTTAGGTAAGACATGGCATACTTTTGTACTAAATAATTTTTTCGTAGCTTTTTGTTTCTTTCTTCTCGTTGCCCTCTTCTTCCTGGTCCCTCACTGTCATCATTTCTTACTGCCTTCTCTTTATTCAGTGGTCAGTTCTGTGCCCATGAAATGTCTTTGCCGAGGTCTAGAGCTTGGCTGTGATGAAGCCAACTTGCGAGCTGTCCCGTCAGTTTCTTCAAATGTGACTTTAATGTAAGTAGACAAGAATGACTTCATCCCAACAGCCAGAATAGCACCTGTAAAACTGTATCATAATTAAGGCTTGTGGTTACTAACAATGTGTTTTTATCCAAAGGTGGTGTCATTGTTCCTTGGTCTATTATAAGGAATGCTGATTTTTTTTTACTGTTTATTAAATGTTAGACCCTATTTCGACTTATTTCATGTATTAACTTATTTAATGTCTCATAACAATTCTCTAAAGTATTTACTATCATCATATTTTATCTAAACAAAAGATTCCATCGATTGTATGTCCTACTGAAAAATAAGGGAGGGAGGCTGCCAATTAAACTATTATATGGTGTTTTCCTATCACATAGAATTTTTATTTGACATTTATTGGGTAACCTCTTTTAGACTTTACTGGACACAGTTTTTAACAGACTCTTAGGTATAAATAAAAAAGAAAATAAGTAAATTTAATTGATTAAAATATTCCCAGAACTTAATATTTAAAGTCCAACTCTTCTGGATCACATTTTGACTCAGAGATTTATTTACTTGTTTCTTAAATCAAATTTATGTATACAAAAGAAAAAAAATTTTCTCACATATAATAGCTAGTTTGTTGATCTAATATTAATTTGAATCCAAGACACCCGAGTTGGGGTGTGTGTGTGTGTGTGTGTGTGTGTGTGTGTGTGTGTGTGTGTACCAACAAGGTGTAAACACTTGGCTTAAACTTTTAAAAAGAAATCAGAAAGGGAGAAATTCTAATTTCTTAGATGGATATTTTAATCAATATTTTTACTGAGATTTTTTTCTTTTTGTTTTGACCAGATGATTTAGGATCTTGCAGCTCTGACTTTTCAATGTATGAGGACAAAATAGGAGTAATTGTGGTTGACAAGTGTTGACAAGTCCTGCCTGTTTCCCAAACTACTTAATAGAGCATTTATATGCTTAAATACAGGGGGAAGCGCTAAAGCTCAGAGTTCTTGTAGATCCATAGTGGTACCATCAAATTCAGAGTCTAGGAGTTTACTGAGCTGATAGGGGCCTGGGAATGTGAGCTGAGAGCATCAGGCAGGGTAGCCACAAAGACTTGTTTTCCAAAGGAGGTAACATTCCCACCTGAACTAAGGCAAAAACAAGAGTCATTCACCATTCTATCTTATCCCAGTCTCACAATAGCTTTTTTCATAGTAATTAGCCCTACTAGAAAATAATAATAAACCCAAAAAGGATCCAAGATTCTCTAGAGAGTTTCTATGATTCAAATTCTCACTGGAACTTCTGGGTATAAGAATTTGTGATGGTCTCGTTCTATTTTTAAAGGGAAACAAATCTCTTATTATCTGCACCGTTTGTATCAAATTACTAGAAAATCTAAAGCAAAGAATACCCTGGTGCCGCCAGCCTCATTTTTCATTTTCCCACAAGCAAGCTTTCAATCTCCTCTACAGCAATCCAAGTACCCTTTGTAAAAGGAAGGAATGGCGGGAAAGAATGCTGAGGGACGCAGGGAGGGAGATGGCCACTAACGACGGGTGCACGCCCCACCTACTGGCACTGAGATTTACATAAAAAAGAAAAAACACTGTTCAGGCCCAATTCATACATACACGTATGTAGCTGCAGACCTCCATATACATACATACATTCATAAAGAGATATGTGCAGGCGTGAGGGCCACCAGTTTGCAGCTCCCAGTATATTGACTCCCGGTATAAAACAACTTCTGGTATAACGACTCCCAGTATAATAACTCCTGATATAATGACTCCTGGTATAAAACAACTCCTGGTATAACAACTCCCGTTATAACGGAAAAAAACTAAGATGAGATCCTAGTGAGTGACTGGCTACAGGATAGTGAGGGAGAAGAGGGGTTAGAGTGACTCCAAGTTTTCCATCCTGAGTGATACAGTGATCTGAGAGAGGGGGAAGACTTGGTGGCAGTAAGTGGAGAGGACTAGGACTCCAACTTCAGATGCTTTCATTATGAGGTTACAGGTCACTGGGTGGACATTTCCAACAGGCATTTGGAGATGTAGGAAAAAAGGAGTGAGGTCAATTTAAAATTTATTTCTTCAAATGTTCTGCATCCCACTTTGGTGAGTGGCATCTGGGGTCTTAAAAGCTTGCAAGCGGCCATCTAAGATGCATCAATTGGTCCCAACCACCTGGAAGGAGAATGAAGAACACCAAAGACACAAGGAAAGTATTAGCCCAAGAGACAGAAAGGGCCGCATAAACCAGAGACTTCATCAGCCTGAGACCAGAAGAACTAGATGGTGCCCGGCTACCACCAATGATCACCCTGACAGGAAACACAACAGAGATTCCCTGATGGAGCAGGAGAAAGGTGGGGTGCAGAACTCAAATTCTAGAAAGAAGACAAGACTTAATGGTCTGACTGAGACTGGAGGAACCCCAGAAAACATGGCCTCTGGATTCTCTATCAGCCCAGAACTAAAACAATTTCCAAGGCCAACTCTTCAGACAGGTATTGGACTGGACTATGGGACATAGAGTGATACTCGTGAGGAGTGTGCCTCTTAGCTCAGGTAGATACAAGAGACTAAATGGGCAGCTTCTGTCAGGAGGTGAGATGGGAAGGCAGAGAGGGTTAGGAGCTGGTTAAATGGAAATGGGAATGGGGGGTGGAAAGGAGGAGTGTGCTGTCGCAGTGTGGGGAGGGCAATTGGGGTCACATAACAATGTATGTATAAATTTTTGTATGGGAAAAAATTTTTTTTAATTTATTTCTGCAACATTACATTTTTTTGTTAAGAAAATGGCATTTTCTTGTGTTTTGGGTTGAGCGGCTTGATTCAGGCTGTCCATTTATACCTTATGCTGCTGAGCACTGGTTCTCAGTATCACACCAGGCCCCATTCTTTGTTGTCCAATTTCATAGTGAAAAGGAACTCTAGCTTTACAGCAAATGTGCTGGGAGAGTAAGTGCTGTATTTTATTATTGAACTCTTTTCATGTTTTGAGTTGAAACTGTTAAAGGGAAATAATGTAAGAAATGGACTAAATGGTATACAAGTAAAATTATTTTAAAAAGCCAATAATCCAAGTAATGCTGATTGAAGTTAGGGATTTTTTTTTTTTAATTTCGTATAAATGATAATGAGCAAAACAGGCAAACACAGATGAAAGTGAGTATTTGTGTATTGTTCTAGCTTGCTAAACATTAACTTTGACTGTTTTGGAAGCTGACTTTTAGATTCTGAAGTTTAATTACTTGTTGTTAGGTGTTGTCGAGTTGGTTCCAACTCATAGTAACCCTATATACAACAGAATAAAACAGTGTCTGGTCCTGTGCCACCCTCACAATCATTGCTATGTTTGAGCCCATTGTTGCAGCCACTGTGTCAATCCATCCTGTTGAGGGTCTTCCTCTTTTTCACTGACCCTCTACTTTACCAAGCATGATGTTCTTCTCCAGTGACTGGTCCCTCCTGATAACACGTCCAAAGTACATGAGGCGAAGTCTCTCCATTCTCACTTCTAAGGAGCATTCTGGCCATACTTCTTCCAAGACAGATTTGTTCATTCTTCTGGCAATCTATGGTATATTCAATATTCTTCGCCAACACCATGATTCAAGGGTATCAGTTCCTCCTCGGTCTTCCTTATTCATCCAGCTTTCGCATGCGTATGAAGCAATTGAAAACACCATGGCTTGCGTCAGACACACCTTAGTCCTCAAAGTCACATTTTTTGGGGTGGATTTAATAACTAGAACTATATGATCCCGTGTAAAGAGCTTCCTTTAAGAATTAGATTCTACAGATGGCTTTGACAAAGAAGATAAGGTTAGGAAGGTTCGTACACATGTACACACACATACACCATATGTGTGTGTGTGTTTGTATATATATATATAAATACATACACACGTGTGTATATAAAATCATCATCAGTTAACATTGATTGAGCTCTTATTATCTGCTAGTGCTGTACTAAGATCTTACGTAAATAATCATCTCATGTAAACGTTATTGAACCCAGGAAGGTGGGTCCTTGCCCTGCGCACTCAGACTTGCCAGTTATCTGAACACTAGTCTTTGAGAAAGAGAAAGTAACTCTATTGCAATGCACAGAGCAAGTCCCTTAGATCTGGCTCCCCGAGTTATAGGGAAGCAGGATTATTTGCGATTTGGGTGGCAAGATGGCAGCCACACAGGCATACTGGGGAAGGAAAATTCTAGAAGGTGGCCAGGAAACGAGAGGTGACATGGTTCTTGTCAAATCTCGGGTTTGGAACAGGGTCCGGGTGATGATTTTCCTTCTGATTCGTTCCTCCTGTTGCTGGGTCCTCTGTTGAGGTCAATTAGCAGTCACAGCTGGCCCTTCCGTGGGATGGGCCAAATCTGGCTTGGGCTTGTTTAAGGACTAATGGAAATTTACTGGCATTCATAGGGCCAGGTTATATATATATCCTCATTTTAAAGATGACATAAATGAGGCCCAAGCATACTAAGAAACTTGCCCAAAGTCATGGAGATAGGATAATAAATGGCAAATCCTGGAATTAAACCCAGGTTTCCCCAACTCCAAGGCCCATAATTTATCCACCATAAGCTACACCCCTCTTTAGACAATAGATAATAGATTACTTCAAAAATCACTAAGTTCTGGAACACTGCTATGGTGTATAATCTCCACTACATTCTTAGAACTTATCGTTTTGTCTTTATTTATACCATCAGCAATGGGACTGACATTCTGCTTGAAGTCTTTTTTTTTTTAAACAAAGAAACAGTTTTTACCTCTGCATGAGAGTAATTCCATACACCATGTTTTTTTTTAAGTTTACTTTAAGATATGGAAGATTCTTAGCGAACTGAGATCACTCAAAGGCCAAGTAATGCTTTCTTATCCATTCATTCAATAAATATTTATTGAGTACCTGTCATGTGACAGATCCCTGGGTGGAGCAGACCATTTGCACTTGGCTGCTAACTAAAAGGTTGATGGTTCAAGCCTACTCAGCAGCACCTTGGAAGAAAGGC